CCTTCATAATGCAAGTGGCTCCTGAAAGTCATGCAACCTACAGGGTGCAGGGATAAAGACATGGGTGTCTTGGTCTGCGGCAGACTGGCAAGACAGTTCACCCAAGAAACCTCCTTTGCAGCAAAGCCCTGTAGGAAAAAGAATGAGGTGTCTAATGCATACTGAATTTGCTGGTATTGTCTGGACAGGATGGAAGGTTCCCAACCCCTCTGCCCTGCTTTCACTCCAGGGCCAGCTGTTCCCAGGGGTGCTATCAGCAAAACCTCAACCGACATCACAAAGGTTGCTGACTTCTTCTTCCCTTTCAGCCAGAATGGAAAACATTTGTGAAACAGATCTAATAACTCCAATCTGGTATACATTGTCACATTCTTATGCACTTTAACCAATAAATCCACTTTAACCAATAGATCATCCACAATGAGGTATGCGCTATTATTATTTTTGATTTGGAGGCAACAGGAAGAGCACTTTGGCACTGAATTACCCAGTACCTAAGTGGGATCTCTGTCAAAGTCATGACCAGAATGTGGGAGGAACTGGTAGCCCCAGCTGTCAAACCACAGAGCCCTTTGGGACTCATGGCCCTCCTCAGCTATAGGATGAATGGTGGCTATACAGCTGTCCACTGCTTTGTGGACACGTTTGCAATATCTGCAGCTCAGCTGATGTGCCCTATTATGAAGAATGAGGAATTTATGGCCTCCCATTATTGGTAGTCATATGAAACACAGACCTAAGAAAAAAATCTAGCTGGGATGTGGCATATTAATCAATATGAATACATGAGCCAGAGAATTAAAGAAACAAGGCAGAAAATGTAGAAAAATTTAAGAAAAAATGATTTATCATTTTTTAATACAGATCATCAGCACTATTCATTATAGTCACCTGCAGGCTTTGATATCTTGGAAACATGGGTAAAACTACTATCCTTCAAAAATGCTACAGTGAAAAATCACCTCAATAATAAAAAAGATCAGCTGGAATGTACTTGCTGGCATCAAACAAAAAAAATAATAATTCACCTGAAATTAAATCTTTGTTGCCTTTCATTACATTTAAGAACTATTTAATTAAATAATTAAATAATTAAAAGAACTGTTTCCTTACAGACTTCTCATAAATAATCTAAGTGTGAGCATTCCCACTCCAAAGACTGGAAATGAGGTCCTCTATTGTCTAGAAGATAAATACAAAGTGTACAGAAGCAATAAAATTTTCCCCATGCTGCTTTGACTGTCAGAGAAAAGATATTTGGAGTAGTTAACTTGAATAATTTTCCTAATTCTGTTCAGTTAAACATAGTTAGATGATAAGGCAGATATGCTAGATTGAGGAGAAAATCTCCCTGATTTTGAATTGTATTTGATTGTGCAGGGTTTTTTAAGGAAAAAAAAAAAAAAAAAAGCATTACCAATGACATTATCTAAATTTTTTTAAGCCTCAATGATTATTTCCTTTTATCTTTTGAGGAGCTACACAAGGATAGCCTTCCAATGCATGGTTACAATTTTTATTGCATGTCTTTGACAAACAGGAACTAAAAGCTCCATGACAAAAGTGCATTAAGAAAGACTATAGTAAAAACTTTGGAATAGGTCCCCAGGAATAGATCCTCAGGAACTTTGGAATAGATCTTGCTCCCATGAGCAGTGCAATTACTCATAGAAGACTCAGAAATCTCCACTTCTGGAGTTCTTGAAGCTGCATTAGGAAAAATATCTCTTAGAAAAGATACAGGTATAGCTGATACAGATTTAGGATAGGGATGGATCTCCCAGATGTTCCTTATCCCTAACCTTCCACAACGATAAAAAGACAGACCATGAGTGATATAGGAAACACTTTAGGTCTTCAAATGTTGATTTATGTCTATTCAGAACCAAAGGAAGCCCAGAGCTCAACAAATACACACAATAGCTCAATGAAATACCTATATTTCCACACATTAGTAGTTCACTTTTCCACCCCACAGGATAAAAATAGGTTTAGCTGGGTGAGAAGTACACTTGTGCTCTACTACACAGTGGGTTACTCTACTAGAACATACATTGTTTAATAGCATTATTTACATACAATTAATTTCAGTGGGAAATTTCCTTTTATTACTTCTGAAAAACTTTCATTAGTGAAAGTGTTAACTACATGACATAGTAACACAAAGTCTTGTCTAATTTCTTACCTTCTGTCAGTGCAAGATTTTTACAGGCCCCCAATATTTGCATGGGTTATAAAATCAACACTACAGTGAAATACATCTCTGATTGTTCCCAACAAGCATTCTAGAATAACAGCTTCCAAATATTTCTTTTGATTTACAACCCGACTAGCTAACATTAAACCTGACAAGCTACAAAGAAGCAAAACTAAATCAACCAAAACATCATATTCAAATTGTAAACAACATCTGCAGAAATCTGGTTTTGCTGTTCACTAAGCTCTCACTGAAATGATCTTACAGCCCATCTAGGGCTGTTTGGAACTTGCACTGACATGGACTGCCTCCTCTTCATCTCCAAACACTTCTCATCCTGGAAAACAGGTTTTAAAAATGAAATACAAAGGTCTACATATGCATGAAGAGAAGGGCGTGGGAAGGTGGTGAGCTAACACTCTTCCATATATTCCCTTTCAAGAAGTTTGCTTTCACCTTAGGTGAACAGGCTTTGGGTGCTGATGGCCCCAACTTTGCATGCATTTCAAAGATAGTAGCTGGCCTTTAGAATAGGGCTGCTGGAAGGGCAGAGGACTTCGGTACAGAAGACAAGCTGTCCAAAACTAGCCCTCAGTGAGCACAAAGGAAGACAGAGCTAACTTTCCTTTCTGAGCACTAACACCAGACATTTTATTCCCATTTATATTACATTACTTAGCAACAGTGAAACAGATTCCTTTTGTGTCTGTGCAACAGCAGCAATTTCTCTACAGAACCTGTCCCCAAAGCACTTAGCAACATACATATCTCAGGCCTTTAAACAGATCACAGGCCATGCTCAGAAAACCTTGATGGCCACAAAGAGACTGGCAAGAATCTTCTTCTGTGAAGTTTTTTGGTGCTCAGAAATCATGTGTCATGAAAAATACTTATATTTTAGGTGATATCCAGGTGAAGTATTTGGAACAGTCTTACCAGCAGACCCACTCTAACACTTCTTCTGTGCACCTCTAAGAAATCATAAGGAAAAGAAAACCAGTCATTTCCATTGTTACAGATTTTGGGATTATGCTCGATTAGATATTTTGAACACTGTTTAAAGAACAGTTCACTGTTGGAGATGGTAGGAAACATAACAGGCTGTTTGGAGGACTATCCCAGCCAAAATATCTTCAGATCAAAGATGCAGAATTGCCTTCCAACAACACCCTTCTTTCCCAAAGCACAATTCCTAAGGCAGTTAAGACTTATATTCTCAAAATCCTTTTCTAATGCAGACCTAAAAATTACTACAGTGGAGCAAATGACATTCATATATAGAAAGGAAACATGTCAAACTTCTGTTCCAGCAGCATCACTCACAAGCTATAGGATTAGCTGCACAAATTGACTGTCTTGCCTCTACATGATAAACCTCTACTGCCGTTTACAGACACCTCCGCCTCCTCCCTGCCACATGACGCCTCATCTGCTGGAGATTCCTCCTGTTACCTCTCTCCCGCCAGCTTTCCTTGAAAATGCTGCTATGGGAAGCAGGAAAATGCCACATACTCAAACCTATTTGCAATATATCAGCTAGATCAGCCATCCCAAAAAGTGGCCACACTACAAACTGTGGCAGTTTTTCTATAGCAGATTTGGAAATGGATGCATTAATTCTGAAATTGGTCAGGACACAACAATGAGGTTTTCTAAAATACTGGAGGCATCTCTACTTCCATTCTTCAGGGCTCTGAACAATCAAGAGTTTTTCTTCCTCCAGGATGCTCCACATAATATATTTATAAATTAATTCTGCTCCTTCTTCTGAGTATTTTTTTAATATCCCTTAGCATATTTTCTGATGAAATAAGCAAACATTTCTCCTCTGCTTATTTACTTACTTCCTCCTTTATAAAGACTTTCACCTATCACACTTAACTGAGTCTCTCTTGACCACCTGTCTCATCTATCCTCACTTTTTCTAACAACAACATGGCATCCTGTTATGTTGTCATTTTTATATTAGGATTAAAACAGCATTAGTACTTGTGAAATTCAAGTATTCTAGAATGACATTCATTTATTTTCAGTCTAGTGTCCTCTTTTATCAAAAATTCAGTCACGGCTGTTTCTTAGCAACAGATTTATCAGAACAGATTTGCATAAAAATCAAATACTCTCAAAAAGGAACTGCTAAAGAAGAGCCTTATTCCTAATCACCATTAAAAGCAAATACTATAAAGCAGAAGAAAATGGTTTTGTAATTCTACACAAAATCTAATGAGCACATATAGAATATTGGCACCAATTGAAGTAGATGACCTTATAAACTTTCCTAACTAATGTATCTCTGAACTGATATGTAAAAATCATCTTCTCATCTTCAGAGATCAATAGGAAAAAAACAAAAACCAGAAGTACAAACCATGCACAGCCACAATCCTCTATTGCACTGGACTAGATAAAAAATTGGCATCTGCAGTGGTCACACATAAAATGGTCTCAAAGGACCAAGCTGCAAAAGGCACACACCTGTGTGAAAAATACTCACAATCAATTCAACACAGCAGTACTAGGAAACCAATAATTTGACTTCAGAGCAGGAGCATAATTGGTATTTCATTCTCTAAAATCATCAGAGATTTATACTCTATCTATCTATCTATCTGTCTATCTATCTATCTATCTATCTATCTATCTATCTATCTATCTATCTATCACCACATTTATACCATAATGTCAGTAAACTCCAAGTTCTTAATTTTCACAGTCTTTAGGAAAAATTCATTTTCTCCCAAACATTTTTCTGTGCCTTACTTCTCTTTGCCAGATGAGGTTTTCCTATTTTTTTTTTTTTTAAGATCCAATATAATGTGCTAAACTCCAACTAGCTCGTTCATCACAAATGTAAAGCAAAGCAAATTCAGAGGTTGGGTGAAAGAGTCAAACCAAACACAAAGCATGAAATCCTTTGAATAGATAAGGTGGAATACCAAGAGTCTAATTCCGTTTGTCTTCATATCAGCCAGAAGTAAGTTATTATATTGACAATGGTTTGAAATTCCTATGAATGACAGTGAAATTAGGACTGCTGTCTTTTCATTAAGAATGATGACAATCTTTTTAGCAAATGCAGTCTTCTCCTGGTGTGGCACTTAGTTTTGGCACTTAGTTATGTCACTGAAAGATAGCATCTATAATATATGGCTGAACATGAATTATGTTAGGAATGGGTTAAAGTAATTAATCTGCATTATTCTCACAAGACAATGCCAAAAAGGTAATTGCCCATATTTGTACTACTACATTATAGAGAATGACAGTTTTATGTCTTCCTAATGTTTAACTGAAAATCTATAATATCCATTTCTGTTCCTTGCTGAAAAATTAATGTAGGACCAAAACCTGAAATTCCAACTCTGGTCATGCTCAGACAAAACTCTCACTGAAGCCAGTGGGAGTATTGCCAGGGAGAGGATTAAAGACGGTGTGATTTGCTGCATGCTACCAGACATGTAAAAACTACAGAGCTAGATTTTCTTTATGATGCTTCTGGGACTATTAAAATTAGGAAAATATTGGTCTTTCAGCTTTCAGTCATGCAGTCATGTGTGCTTGCAGGGAAGGGAAAAATGCAAGGCAGACAAGCCATCTTGCTGGAGGGTGCTTAATGGCAGGCTGGAAACCAGAAGCAGTGAACCCCCCTGCAGTATATCCCTTCCCTTCTCCTCTACAAGTCCCAAAAAGAGGCAGGAAACAGCAAAGCAGCAAGCCTGGATCCCTAGCAAACAGCAAGCAATAGCTGGATGGAGTACAGCAAGCTCATCATTACAAAAAATACTGAAGCCATCCACAATATTTATGCCATTCCAGCACCTGAAGCATGCCTGGGCATATGACCCTTTGGGAGGCTTTAAGCTGGGCCCTGTGCCACCGAGATAAAACAACTCTAAAGGTAGATGGCAGGAAGCAGTCAAGATATAACAGCTTCCTTTAGCTCTTGCCGGGGCAGGTGGACCACAGGAACCTGCTGCCCTTTAGGTGGGCTCCTGGCTCTGCAGGGGAGGATGCTGCTTTCTTCGGTTGTCAGGTTTTACTGGCCCCCATTGGGTCATATTAACTTAAATGGATACACAAACTCTTTTTTTAAAAGTACGCGATTTGTCAACTGAACATTTGGGATGGTTCTGTTTGTCAGTAGTTTCCAGAGGTATTAGAATCTGGTATAATAAAAGAGCTATGTTTAGCAGCCAATTTCTCCATATTTTCCTGATGTGGCAGCAGTGCCCAACGAATAAAGGTATGACAACCTGAAACAGCTAAGTTATCTAACCAGTCTGAAAAAATTAAGAAAAAAGTAAGTCCTGAGCTACTCATTTAAATTTTTATGAGAAAAATCCATGTCACTAAAGATTAATTTTAAAATGAAATCTCATTTTTAAGAGCATGATTACAAGAAGTAATAGTCCATAACTGCAGTGATGACAAGAATGTCAAATGATTAAACACCCCTGATTTGTTTTATAATGTTGTGGTTCCGGGTCAGAACCAGGGCTCTAGTGCAACCAGAAAAGCATTGGCACAGACCCTGTACGTCCTGTAACATGTAGGTGGAAAACCTAATGAATAGAGTTAAAATTACATTTATACTCTGTATTAAACAAATAAACTCATAGTGGCCTGATTAATGGCACCTGAAGCAAAGTCTGCATGTTTCCACATGGGAGAAAAAAGGGTTTTCAAAATTTCCATTCCCCTCTGAGAGGCAATGAAAGTCTTTGATTTAGCTGATCACAGGGTAACTCTCTGCCATCAATCTTCAACCTCTCTTCTTCCTCTGCCAAAGGTTGCCCTTTCCTGGCATGGGTAGCTGTCCCCTGGCAATCACTGATCAAACTGCTATCCTGTGGGCAATTTACCTATCACTAGTGGTTACAGCTGCTCTCACCAGGTTCAGACCAGAACCCAAGAACAAAAAATGTCAAGAGCCTTGCAGTTAGGAACAACTGATTCTAGAGGCTATACCATCACCTCCTAATGACAGGTAACAACTTCGCCCTGGTACCAGAACAGTTGAGTTCAACAGCAACAGTATATATATACATATACATTTGGATTCATCAAAGTGTGAAGTTGCAGCAGGCAATGGAAACTTGGCATCTGCATTAGAAAGAAAAAGCATGATGATAAATCTTTGCCTTCCTCTTGAAAAGGCATGTGGCTCTTCACACTTTTCTTGAGACATTGATAAAGTCAGATAAAGTGTGCTTCTTTACCTGGAAGGAGACTGTGCCAACTCCCAAGGGCAAAACAACGCCGACATATGGGAAAAGGTAACTTGTTTTACCACACAGAAAGTAGAGGGCTTGTCTTAGCATGTTCTGCTTCAAAAACTGTACTTCAAATGCCCGGAGAAAGGAAGTGCTCAGGCAAATCACAGTCAACTTACCTGATTTTGATTCATACCCTCATAAGCAAACATATGCAGAGTTGATAATTTGAGCTGTATTTTAAAACCATTTAATGTATTTAAAAATTATACACCTGAGCAACTAGTAATAACACAGTTGTGTGCAGAAACCTTCACAAATGCTATTAGAGACAGAGATATCTATCAATGGGCTACTTGGTACACAGAAGACAGACTTCATCAATCCAGGCAGGCAGTTACATTACAGCATACAGGTAGTATCTCGGATTACCAAAAATTACTTTTGGCTCAGAGAAGATAAAACTAAGAGAGAAACTGACTTCCTAGATTATTTAAACCCCTGAATTTAATGGGAAAAGTCAATGAGTGGGTCTTACCAGGAGGAAGCCAACACTGATATTTTTCATAATTTTGACTTCTGTCTCTTATTTACAGAAACACACAGTTCTGAATCTGAATGAAAATGGGAGTATTACATAAATGTTTTCTTTCAAAAAGCATAGACTTATCAAGATTTCATATTTTGTTCTAATTCTGATATTTAATCTCTACAGATACATAGAATCCTCTGATTTTTCCTAGGATTTTTAAGACATCTAACATAAGTGATGCAACTTTTTATGACTATGCAATGATTACATAGAACAAAGTACTAGGAATCTCTGATATGGCTAGCCCTATTGACCTTCTCTCTGAGACATTTGGGGATGAAAAGTGTGAGCTAATTTATAAGCTCTGACCTCAGCATCATGCTAACTCTCATAAGGAAACATTAAAATTTATTTAATGGCATGCATCTTTAGAAAAAGAAAAAGAGATTCTGGTTTATGCAGCATGGTCTATGCTGGTATATCTCCTGGAGTAAAGACATCATAAATACTTCCCTGAGGCAGGGATGACGCATCTATTCCTGAGGCATCGTATACTTCAATGCTGTAGACACTGAAATTTTGTTAAAACCCCTCAAGGGGATAACATGGTGATTCTTCAGTAAAACACACTAGTCATCAAGAAACTTCACAGCCAATTGCCCATCTGAAGTTTCATCACCCATCACCTTCTGGTCTCTGACTTCTAGTATCCAACATGAGCTATAAGAAGTTATTAAGGAACTGTCATCAGTGGTCGTGGTGGTGCATCCCTCCCCCCTCTAGGCCACACTATCACTCATGTGTGGTTCCCAACACACACTTGCATATTTTTGTTCTGTGCATCAGCTATCTTTGGAAGGTGTTATGGCTAGAATGGACAGTTAAAATACTTTCCTCCTTCTGAACATGTAAAAAGCACAGCACTTTCAAGTGGCAGGTATAAAAGGCACTATCACATTCATATTCTAGCTTATCATGACACACTATTTGAGATTTTACTGATTACAGTCACAATGTATTAAGGAAATTGCTGCAGTCCAAATGAAGCAATCACATTAATGGGTAAATATTGCATGCCCAAGTGAAAAACAAAAAAGATAAAAAATTTGGACATAACGTGTGATACAACCATTTCAACGTTCTTTTGTATTGTTTCATTAAATTTGTCTAGAAATCCAGACAGTTCAGGCCAACAAACAGAAGTTCCAAAGCAAAACATGGGCTTCAAATCACAGCATTGATGTTTCCTCAAAATAATTTGGAAAATCACCATGCCGTACCTTAGTATTTAACCAAACAACTTTTTTTTTTGTGTAAAGTTCTGAGTAGATGAAGTATGGCCTGATATGTAAAACTTTGTGTCTTACAGGCAAAGCTGAACATATAGTTATTTGACCTGAATACACATACATTTGTTTGAATGTTAATGATACATACATTTAAAGTATCTTAAATAGAAATAAAACTACTGCAAACAGCTGCAGGGTGGGGGGAATGCTTTATAAATAGAAAAAGAATGAATGATGCTATAAAAATATAATTAAGGAATTGAATCTCACTTCTTATTGGAACACAAAGACAATAATAGCATTTTTCTAACAACAGGTAACAGGTGAGGAACTCAAAAATTGACATATTTTTCAATGCACTCACTGTTACTAATGAAATACAAGGTATGATCAATTTACAGATAGTGAAAGACACAATGATATGAAATTATAGAACTTTATTGGACTGTTAAAAGGAATTTCATGTAATACATTTTTTATAGATTGTCCAAACTGTTATGGTAGCATTTGGGAATAAAAACAATGATTGTCTGTTACTTACAAGAAACATGAAAGATTTTCAACACAAAGAATTAGAGGGAAGAAGGGGAGAAAAGACTCACAGCTTGCTGATGGATAACAGCAAGTAATTTTTAAACCATGGAATCACAGAATGGGTCAGGTTGACAGGGACCACAATGGGTCCTCTGGTGCAACCTCCCTGCTCAAGCCAGGTCATCCCAGAGCCCATGGTATAGGATTGTGTCCTGATGGTTCTTGAATATCTCCACTGAGGGAGACTCCACAACCTCTCCAGGCAATCTGTTCCTGGGCTTGCTCACCTGCACAGCAAAGAAGTTTTTCCTGGTGTTCAGGTAGAACTTGCTGTGCATCAGTTTGTGCCCACTGCCTTTGTCCCACTATCCAGCTTTCATAATGTGATGCTATGGTAGAAGGCAATTTTGTGCTAAAATTTAGAATATTACTTTTTTACATGTGTGAAAAAATATTTTAGGAAAGAATGTTAAAGTTCTATACTTTGAAATCAACGGAATGTCCCTTCTCATTTTTAAACTGAGCCTGAAATATAAAAAAATACTCAGGAACAGAGACCTCTGAATGGCAGCGAAAGATTTGAAGTGTACTTGTTTGAGACTCTGGTCTTGGATTTGTGCAGTGGTGCTGCAGCCCAATTATGCTCACACACTAGTAAAGTCAGTGAGACCTATGAAATAACTGTGTTAAAAACCTCTAAAAAGAATACTAAAATACTTAGGAAAAAAATCAGGATTTATTTTCTGATTTCTATGGACATACCTGACAAGGGAGCCCTACTCTGCTTACATCAAAAAAAACCAAAGCTATCATAAGAAAGCATGATTTTACCTTTTACTTGCTTGAATATTAGATAGTTCCCTGAAATTCTATATGGTTGTTCTTTTCATTCCAGTGAGGAACTAAGTAACAGTGAAAATATATATGCAAGGAGACAAGATTCCTCTTATATTAAGAAGTAATCTGCTTAGTAACCCTGCTGTGACTTGCTGCCTCTAGAGAGGGAATGGCCCTCTTCAAAATGAAGTCAGTTTGGCTCTATGCTGCCTACAACTCTGCTGCAGGCCAGAACACATGCTTGTCCTACACACTCCTTGCAGCTGCAAAAATATAGCTTTTCATGGAAGGTTGATATTAAAATTAGAAGCATATAGCGTGTCCATACCAAAACAATACATACTCTCATGTGGGCTCTTCCAATCTATTGGGTTTTTTTGGATGAAAGTAAGTCATCCAGTTAATCTCGAGGCTGATTTAAATACAATACCATGTTGTCCAAGTTCAGTCACATACATGCTTGTGGAACTGAACAGCTATATTTATTTCCAATCAATGCATCATTTGCTATCTTCAGAGCAGATTGAATTTGTATGAACAAAAGAAAAACAGAGCAAATGGAAGCCAGCTTCAAAAGTTTGGGCACACACATTCCTATGGAAGTGGGACAATAAAATGTGCTGGGACACATGAAATACACAGCCCCTGCATTCTCTGTGCACCCTATGATGTTGCATTCATGCTCAGTACTTCCAACCACCCACTGGAGATCAGATGACAAGAATCTCACACAACATGGACCTACATTATAATCTGAAATACTTTACACCATCACATAATGATGGCAAAGTCCTTCAAAAGGATATTCCAAGACTCTACACATTTGTGCCCTAAGAAGACAGCTTACCACAACTCACAAAGTAGGGCATTGAGCTCTCTGAAGAACAGAAAACAGAACCACCAAAAATTGGAAGGAAGAGAAAAAGCCAGAGAGAATGATGGAGAATGAGAAAATACTAAAAACTTTGACATAAGCTTTTGGGGTTTTCTTTTGAAATAAACAAGGACAACATACTTAGCTGCTCAGTCTACTAGTAACTTTTGAATTATTTCAAATAATAAAATATTATTATTGTTAACAATAATAATTATTATTAATTCTTAACTAAAAAAATGGCTGAATTAAAAAGAGCTTAGAAAGGGTGTTTTTTTTAATCTATTGGATAATAACTTCCAATTTGAGAAACCATTTGCAAGTTTTTAAGCATTAAAATAGATGCAAACAAAGTGATGGCCTTCATGGTGATGATTACTTGTAAACTTAACATGGACAACTGGGTAAAGGGACAAACTTTGACAAACTTTGTATGAAGGCTTCTGTTTAAAGAGCTACACATTTTCTGCTTAAAGAGCCACATTTTCATATGGTAAAATTCCATATATTTTATAGCTTTTGAAAAACAGGCTTAGGAATTTGCTTTCTTAGGAAAAAATTGATTTTAAGTGCTTCTGCCTACAGTCAAAAAAGAGAAAGCAATACGCACAAGAACTGCTTGAAGTAAAATTGTTTTCAACTAGCTGTCCACAGGTTTTCTTGGCACTGTCTGCTGTTACCAAGGATCTTGATCTTGCTCCCACTGAAATGCATGTTTTGCTTCACTGCTGCCTGGGAGAGGTCCAGCTGGTAGACAAAGGCAGTGGAAAGGATGAAGACTGCCTTTCACAGGTTAGGATACTCAAGACACATGTTGCCATGAAAATAGCAGCCTCAGTCTGCCCTGTCTGTGAGCTTCCAGGACTCGCACTAAAAAAGCGATGGTCCCTAGACAGCTTTCTTCAGGAACAGACATTTTGCAACTGCTCCCACCTCGCTTTTCATGACAGGCAGCTGCAGCAAGTACAGTTCTGACCTCTGCCTGGGAACAATGCACTTCTTTGCAACATAGACCTGGCCACTGGTCAAACTTCCATCACATTCAACAGAAACAGGTTTATTTAACAGACTGGATGACATGACTTGCTTCACACCAAAACACCCCCAGCAGTGCTTCCTCTCCAGGCCTCAAACTAATCTGCCCATCAAACTGCTCAACAGCTTATCTCAAAATGTCTCTGAGCATATTAAATGTCTACCTAAAATAAATTCTAGTACAAATAAACCCCTTCTAGCATAACCTTAGAAGTATGCTTTTATTTTAGTTTCATGTCTGGCACAGTGTAAAAAAATAGTGACTCTGCCTTTAGACATTTCATAGCCTTTTTTATTGCTCAGTAAAACAATATAAAAGCTTTTTAATGTCGAATCCTGGATGTTCATCAATTTTTACCATGTTAATGGTTCCTGTATGATTTTTAGTTTCAGTCTCACTTTATTTTAAGGAGGTCAAGAATTTGTAATTAAGTGAGCCCTTTGTAAACCAACACCATTTGGGCAGATCAGAATCTCTACAGTTACAAGCAATGTCACTTACAATCAAGCTGAAAGACAGAAGCTAGTGGGTATCACAATTTCCATGTTAAAAGTTTAGCTCCCTTAGCTTTAAGACACTCTGTCTACATACTGAAAAGAAAACATTTTAGGAACATGTAGTCTTTTTCCATCAAGCATTAAACATCCGTCCTAAGACATTATTAGTAACAAATCACGTGCTGTAATCCATAATATTCTGTGAATATCTGCATCAAGTAATAATGTACTGAGTGTCTAACATAATGTAGTACAAAATATGTAAGAAGGATTTCTACAATACAGATATAAAAATATATATATATATTTCAGTGGTGCATAGATCAGTTGTGGTTTATTAAAGTACCTCCATGATTACATAAAATCCAAAATACTGTGTCAGTACATTCTGAAACATTTGAAGGTCAAACCTATTCCTATCCAATAAAGATGAACTGCAAAGTGCTACAAAATAAATTACAAAAAATTATGTAAAATCCCCAATCGACAACTGTGCATATTTATGCATATAAATATTATGAATCAGAAAGAACTACTTTTTAAAATTAAATATTTCAAAAGTCAACTGCCAAATTCCAGCTTTGCAAGTTTGCTTTTTCCCTGCCAAAAGAAAAGGGTTCAGATTCTCACCTCATTAATTTGGCAATAAATTGTGAACACATAACAGAAATATGGTGACTTTGTTCCAGCAAAACTTCAAACTGGAATTTGGGCTACTGGGTCAAGCTCTGTTCATGATCCAATATATGTTTGATGTAAGTCCACTGACTTTAGTTCAAATATTGCCGCTAGATGATTGTCTACTGATTTAGAATCACCTCTATGATATCAGATATTATTTCAACAGGAGGACAGACTCACGGATAAGCAAGAAGTCCAAGAAAAAAATAATTAAATGGAGTTAAAAGTGAGTCAGTAAGCAGAAGAGAAAGTTAAGATCTCTAGAAAATAAGACCATGTCTTATAATTCACAGACTTGGAGGAAAAAAGGCAGACATTCCTAATACTCTTTCTCAGGAACAGCAGAGCACTTGATGACATCTAACTTCAAACAGGAACTATGATGGATATCCTTAATTGCTGCCATCCTTCCCCAGATCACCACAGTATGTGCAGGGCGACAAAGACAACATGATTCCTAGGTCATCAGTAGACTTCCAGCTCTGTCCTCTTCTTTAATGTGGGGAGCAAAATACATCTTTGGGACAGATTTTTAGTGACTGCATCTCCCCTTCCCTAACTAGTGGAAAGGGAAAGGAAATATGTCCCTACATAGGCCTAGAAGTATGCAAATGTGGACACATTTCTTGACTAATGAGGATATTTCTGAAACTTGAGCACAGCAGGAATAAAGAATTTGTATGAAAGACACTCAAGAGAACACAAGAAAAAAATTGAAGGATTAAGAGTCTTAGAAGGCACAAAGCAAGTAAATACACAGAAACATAATTAAAGAGTCGAGACAGTACTGTAGAAAGAGAGGGATGGTATAGGGTCTTAAAAGACCGCAGTAAAAGAAAAGGCAATAGTGTGCCACAATGGAAGAGTGAAAATGGCTGAAATTAAAAGCAGGTAACAATGAAAAGGAAATACATTAGGGACAATATAATACCATCTCTCTCTCTTTTTTTTTTTTTTTTTTTTTTTTTACTGAACATAGTTGTAAGGAATTAAATTCAAATCATATCTCAAAAATTTAACCAGAATACACATAAGCATCTACCTCGTTCTTTCACTACTAGTCTTTGTAGCTAACTCTCAGTTAAAAAAACCTCTGAAACTTCATACTTCTTAAAATTCCCTAAATGGAAAAGATCAAAGTAGACCCTCAGGATTTGATACATAAATCAAATGAAAATTAATTTCTAGTACTATATCTAAATGCAGTCCTGCTCTTGAAATATGCTCATACCTTCATCTAGCTTTACTTGTTACAGTAGACTCTTTTCTGCAGTATAGTGAAGCACATTCTGAAGCATACTTCACAGTTAAATATGGACAGTTAAACAAGCCTCTAAGTCTACATCTGAAGGACCAGCCACATACCATTGCTATTCTTGCTCTTGGCTCAGAATCAGCATTCTGGCCTACTACAGATTTGTGTGCTTATTCAAACTTAGAGACTATCTCAAGTAAGCACAACCTAACCAAATGTCTAAGTGATGGCCCTGGTTCAATACCCAAACACACCAAACAGTATTGCCACCTTTCTGTATATAGCTCAGACTCCCCATCTTCCTGGTTAAGTCAGTGGAACTACATACATATTAAGATTTGCAGGGCCAGCTCTGCAATTTACTGCTTCAGGTGTTAAGACCATATCCTGCAAATATACAAAAACTTAAATTTAACGATGTGAGCATTTCCACAGAAATCAGTGAGCTTGCACACACACTTAAACTAAGCATTGAAGAAATTTTGCAGAGGCATTAATTCAATAAAATAAAAGCAGCTTTGCAGTTCACCTTTGATAAATATTATTTATAAAAACAACATCTTTCCAGTTAAGTTCGAACAGAAAAAAATTGACAGAGGAAGCAATATAATTTCATTTCTATGTCATTTTGGAAGACACAGTGAGGACAAGGCAATAGGAAAGAGTGTGGTAGCTTATTTCTGGAATTTCTTGAGTTTTTTAGCTGCCTCTGGGCTTCACCTTTCCCTGCTCTTGGAAAAACAGCTACTGATTTGAATGTACTTCTATAGTTCCCAAAACATAACAAATGTTTAAAACAGAAATCCAAGGGAGGTGGAACTTCACTGGGCAAGAACACTGTCCACTCCCTACAGTGCAGCACACAGATTCCACAAGCTCAACAGCCCCTCTCTCATCTTTTCCTTATTTCATTTACCCATCCAGTGGGATCTTATGAAATAAAACAAAACCTAAAAAAAACAAAATAAAATGTGAGAAATCATGCTTAAAAAAAGAAAAAAAGTCAAAGAAAAATCAATACAAAAGATTAAACAAATGAATACTTGACAATCAAACACATACACATAAAAAGCATTTAAAGCATACATAAATTACATAAAAATTATACATTAATTTATGAAAATTATGACATTACCTCTATCTTGTGGCTAAAGGTTTTATTTATTAAATAAAAATGTGTAACATGTACAATTATTTGTCTTTTACATATCAATATACTCAGACTGAGCTGTAATGCAGTAAGTCTAGAATTCTGCAACCAGGGACTGTGCTAGGTATGGGTCAGAAAAACCTCAGCCAGGTGCTCTGCCTTGTGCCAAGATTTATGGTGAACAGCTCAATGTGCACAATCAAATTTTCTGTCTTTGGTACACCAATTACTTGTAGGGTATCCCACTATGCCACAGATTTACTCTAAGTACCAGGATTCTCTCTAACTTTCCTTAGCTCTGTGCACATTATCCTTTTTGGCTGGTCTGAGCAGGCTGCTGCCCTTAGTGGCATCAACTGCCTCTGTAATGGCAGAAGAAAGTGGAGCTGGGGGAAATATTAGTCAATTATCTTGAAATTAATTGAATTTAAATATCAAGAGGAACTTAAAAATTAACAACTAAATCTGATGGCACACTGAAATACATAAAAATCCCCAGGATGTGTTCTGCTATGAGATGAAGTAAAAATCTATCTCCCAAAACTTACCTGACTGGCTGAGAATTTTTTTAAAAGCTACACAGGGTCCTGTGTGGAATTAAACTAGTGGACTTTATGGCACAAACACTTCCTAGAACAGCATTGCCTTACCCAGTCTGTTGTTATCTGATGCGGTTGAGTTATTATGTACATCACTGTTGACAGCCACCATTACTTGTTCTAATGACATTTGAAAAAAACACATGTAAGAGTTTTACTATTAGTCAGCAAATTAAACTTCAGTAGTAGCTTTTGTCTTGTTTTGTGGGCTTTTTAATCTTGTTTTAATAAGTTCTCAGTGTTTGTGAAGACTGAAAGCTTACCCATATTTGACAGAAATCTAAACAATTCAGAGACAAATCTTTATTTATTTTCAATGAATGGGACTTACACTATCAGCTTCAAGAGAAGTTAAATTTCACTGTCAGTAGCAATGACTAATTCATGTGCATTGTGTTTTCTTGTTTGTTTCTACCCTGGAAGTAGGTAATCACACATACAGATGCTGAACTTGGTAGCTTTGTACAATCCCACATTTCCAAAAGTTTCTGGCAAAATGCCTTTTCTTTGAAACAGTTATTAAGGTCTCATGTAAGGAGCCAAAAAGCCCCAAAGGAATCTGCTGATTCACAGACAAAAATAGAGTATCAGTTGAAGAAAGCCTCATTTCAGAACAGTAAGCAATTATCTGAAGGATGTTTAGAAGTTATAGTTTAGAAAAGGAGAAATATCATCAGGGTTTTTAGTAGTCTACAATTAAGTCTACTCCATGGGTGCTATTTTCCTCTTGAATTACCTAAGTCATTCAGACCTCCCCTGGAATTTTGCTTTCTTAAATATGGGAGATTACATATGTTCTTGGCAACTTAAGATGAAGGGCACATACATGTATTTACATAAAAACACACATTTATACCACACTTCTAACACCACAGCAAATCATTGCAAGGGAAAGCTTTTCTGACTTTTATATTATTCCTTACCTCGTCTTCTACAGTCACAGTGAAATCATATTGTTTTGTTTTAAGACACCTCTGAATTAGAGGTGAATTAGAGAAGTTGTCAACTAATGAACTAATATGTAGTGTTCAGTACACAGGCAAAACACAGGTACAAACCAGATCTGCTTACAACTCCTGCAAACTTCACATGATGAGTCATGATGGGAAGGCAGGGATAGGAATGTGGTACTATTATTTTAAGGAAGGCAAGCTGATGTGTTTTTGTAAACCACCAGAGATGCTTAGGGAGATGGTTTAGTGGTGGGCTTGGTAGTGTTAAGTTAATGATTGGAATTCATGATCTTAAAGATATTTTTCAAATGAAGTGATTCTATTATTCTATTTTCTCAGTTGCATTTGAGTGTATTTTAGTAACCCTGGTAGCCAACACTGGCATCTAAAACAACCATTATGGGAGAAACCTCAGACCTATGACTGAACAGTCTACAGGAGTCAAGAAGTCCACAAGGTGAAGAGAGTCTTGCAATTCCTACTGAGGGCAGAAAAATTTATCACAATAAAAACATCTTCTAGAGGAAAAACTTATTAACAGAAAGGAATAAAAAAAAAAAAAAAAAAAGAAGAAAGGAAAAAAGTAAAAGAAAGGTGAAAAAAAAGATGAGAGTCTATTAACTTTAATCAGTAAAACATAGAAAGAAACCAGGTACAGTATATAGAAAAGAAAAGGATATATGAATACAAAATAATTGTGGGGAGTGAGGTGGAGGGAGACAATGGAGCAAGGAAACAGGACAAATATAAAGGTGCAGAAACTGAACAGAAGTGCTTTAAAAAACAAAATTTCATTTGTACACTGGATCTATGACTATTTGGGGACATTGAGGTAACAAAGGCAAAATATTATAGGCCACAGATATTTAGAAAATTATTTCTTGTGTTCTAGCTGCCAGCTTCCTATTTGACTTCTCAGAGTTCACAGGGACTTCAGAGTTCACATGGAGTCAGTTAAGTAGGTTGAGGCAAAGATTGATTTTGGCTTGAGTTTCTGCTGAGGTGCTAGATTCTGAGTTTAATATTAGTTTTAAAAGTACACTGCTGTTATGTAAGCTGCCACTCAGACTTGTAGAGAAAAGTACACTAAAGAATAAAAATAAAAGAACGTCAAAATGAAAGTGGAAGACAGAAAAAAGCTATTCATCTTCCCTGAACAAGGAATGACAGAACTTCATTCATCCTTTAAAGGAACATTATGTATCTGTCTCTCTGAAATGCAAATTTGTCCAAGACAGTAAAGAAAATAATAAGTAGTTTAAAATGTGATAACTTTATTTCCAATAGCAGCTCTTCATTCAAAAAGCTTTGAAATCAGCACTGAATGAATTACTAGTCTTTAAACAAACATCATAAAGAATCTGGAGTACACTATTTTGGGAACATCAAATTTAAGCCTAACTGCTTAATAGAAAGAGTAGTTTGAATTATATTATTAATAAGGATCCAGTTGAGCCACCAGTGAGCACTTTTTTTTAATCCTACTTTCTAGAAGTACCACAGTTGACTATCACATGAGTTTTGCAGACTTGTATCTCAGATACAGGATGATCTGTACTGTTCTGAGAGTTTATGCTGATTGGAATCTGGATAAAATGTCACCAACTACTGTTCACAGCTTTTCGATTCATTAGAGAGGAAAGCATGAAAGGAAAAGTATAATAACAAACCCCTTAGCTTTATACCTACTGCACTGATTTTGAAAGAAGAGCTTTTAAACATGATCCTTTTAAAATGTAAAGAAGCCAATTTTTTGCCATCTTCAACCAGCATACAAAAAAATAACTTAGCCATCAATGGCATCATAACATCATATGCATCATAACATCTAATTCATATATTTGGGAAAATCACTGTTCTTGAGATAGTCACACATTCATGGACTCAGTTTCTACCTATACCAAAAATCTCAGTCACATTTCTTCTCACTGGTTATGTTCCCTACAAGTCATCACCTAAGTCATTCAGGAAGGAAAATGTTACATGATGGTCATCTTCTGAAATTTCTTCACAAAGCAAGATGATAAACTTTAGCTGCCTAAAATCCTTTTTGCACCAACAGGATTTGAAATACTATATTTCAATGAGTTGTAATAGACTGGAGATCTGAAGTCAGACTTTCTTGGTCATTACCAACCTGACCTACACTCTGTCAGAATAAATAGAAGTTTCCCATAATGATGACTTAACTAAATACAAAAGTAAGTTTTGTATACTCGCATCCCACTTGCCAATTATGTCTTAACATATGAGTTGCATAAATTTGGAGACTATGCAACTAAACCAAACCATTCAAGGGAAAGTACAAGCAAAAGGTGTGCTGAACTGAAACTTTTTATGACATTAAGTCTCATTCCATATACTCTCTTCATCAACTGCAAAACATTTATTCTAATATTGCATAATGTTTGCTTAAGTTTTATTCAGAATATTGCTTATGGCATTGATCTAAACAAAGCATTTGAATCAAAAATCAATGTACATTTTACTTTTTCAAGTGTGGAGTAATTTGAGCATGCATGGCATGTATCTCTTCATTCTTTTTACATGAACTGTGATGTATATGGAGAAAGTTCAAGCTGATGACTGGAAGGGAGGAAGACAAAGGTAAGATGCAGTTGCATTACCAAAAAGAGTAGTCTCATAAAATTTGTCAGTTTCTCATTCAAGAAGGAAAAAAAAGAAACAATTTATTCCTAGTTTTATTTGCTTCTTGGATCTGGGCCATTGCTTCAAAGAGCAGTGCTGGCTTATGCTGTGGCAAAATCAGGACAAAATGTCACCTAATTTTAGTTGGAAAGTAAGAGGTTCCTGGACTGCTTCTGCAGGACTTTTGTTGCACAAGGAAGAATAATGTCTTGTTTTATAGAGAAATGCCTACACAGCAACAGAAGATAAAATTATCTGAAGAAATACGCATATTTTCTTAGGATTTTTCAGGTTTTACACGCACCAGGCTCAATACTACCTTTTGTTTGAAAGAACAAAAGCATAAGTATTCACTACAATTTTTTTCTTTCATCTAAAAATAGTTTTTACTTCATGAAGTACTAAGGCCATATTTTTAATTCATACAGTTAAGAGCTCTAATGACAAGCATAAAGATTACTTTTTTAACCTAAGGATAAAAGCATGTACAGAAGACAAACAAATCAACTTATTAGAGTCCAGGGATTCACAGAAAATTCTGTATCTGAATGAGACTCTATTTTTTGATCCAATTTTCCTGTAACTGAACTTACTTAGTAAATGGGAAAACTAGTACCAGAAGAGACTAAATAGCCTGACCCATGAAATTATACACCAAGATAAAGAGTTTTGACCCTCTTATATACTCCAATTACTTACAACAGGAAGGCAGCAGACAATCATATTAAACTCAGACTATTTACAGTAACCCAAAGCTAAAAAGTTTCTTCAAATTATACAGTATCTCATAAAGATTTCCACTATAGCTGCTTCTTCCTCTAATGTCTAAATTTATGCTCCATAGATAAGGATGCATAAGCTTGTAATTTTATGGATGCTTCTACCTCTATTAGACTTCCAAGTAAGCATAATAAAATTGTAGTCACCAACGTCAGTATTGCAGCCAGTATTCAAACTATTTGATTGCTTGTTTCATTAGTCTAGAAGTTCATGAAATGAGAATGGAGGTCAAACAGAATTGTACATACTTAGGTATAGAACGTCATAAAGCAGTTCTCAGTGAAAAAGAAGTTAGAACTAAGGGATGATAAAACTGGACCTTTATACCAAACAGTTTAGAGACCAAAAATATTTTGGGTTAACAGTTCTCTACACCGTTAACAAGGATCATTTAATGTCTTAATCTGTTTTTCTTTAGTTTGAGGTAGACTTTTGATTTTATTTCCCAGTATGATGCATTGGATATGATGCTCATTTTCCAAGCAGGCAGCAGAAAAGAAAACATTTGTGCTCTGCACTATTGAAGGAGAAAATATTATATGTTTCTCAATAAGAGTCATTACCCTCATGACTTCCAGTGCAATATCCAACAGAAGTTTCCTTTTACAGTACTGCTGCTCATGCTGTAGTTGCTTTGCTTTCTATTGATTAGTGAGTCAAGGACATTAAGAGCTGAAGCTCAAACCACCATTGCTCAGAGACAGCCAGTACATATATTTTACAGAGCTTCTAATTCAGGGACAGTAAAAGGAAAAAAAAGAGAGTGCGAATAAGCAACTGCTCAGAAACTGAAACAGAACCCGGCATTAACAATAGCTCCCCACAGAACCATAGAAAATGTGCATTAGTAGAAACCCAACTCACAGGAAAGAGTGTAGCAATTACTATTTGCACACACATTTTAAAAAATGGATATCTGAGAGTTATTTTACACTTCATTTGCATGACGCTGTATGCCTGAGAGATCAATCAATAAATCAAGGGATGCTTTCTCAAAGCTTCCTGCAAGTACTTGAAAAGTCAAAGCTCCTAGGAAAGAAGGCCCTTTACCTTATGACATCCCTAGAATTTGTCTTTAAATGCACTCATTGGTATACATGTAAAATACAGAAATGCTACTACACAGCTACAATTTTGACAAGGGTCAGTTTATAGCCACAAGAAAGATCAGAGTATTTGAAGGACACAGCATAAATATGTCTTGCCCCTTTGCAAAAGAGAATCACTGTCAATTTTGAAACCATTCTGTCTCTATCCAAATACTGAAGGCAATGCTACCATCCAGTTATCTTGAGTAATTCCAAATATTCTGTATTTTCAATATATGACCTTTTAATAAGACCTGGCAAGAGAGTTCTTATGTACAAATTAGGGAAATAATATTGCTTGTTACAGTACAATAGGACTTATGGAACTGTATCACATATATTCATTTATAATAGGATTATTTTGCTTACTGTTCCCTTACAGTAATATTAACATCTTTGATCAATCACCATTCTCACAGCTGTTATTGAGCAATTCTCCATCTTCCTTGCTATGAAATTGTACCTTGTGTCTGTGAAATCTGAGCGATTCTTAAAAGATGCATCTCATAATCACTCAGTGCCTCTAGTAAAACAACAACTGCCTTACTTTACAGTCACTACTAATAAGTACTAAGTATTTCCACATGGCAATTAACAATTTTCCTTAAAAACACTCATCATTATCTTGATTGTGGTCAACGATCAAGATAGTGGACTGACAGCAAACAACTAAGAGCCAAATTCCAGTTAATCCCATTAATATTATGCTCCATTATGATAAACTACATTTCTATGCATCTCTTCTTTCTCCATCTCCTGCAGACTTGTAAATCCAGGACCAGAGATCACTGCCCCATTTTGATACAATCTTGTCTCAAATATTTCACCCCACAGCTTCTCTCTTGATTGAAAACTTAAGATGTAGGTACCATAGGTGATCAGGCCCACACAGTATGTGTTATGAGATGTTGGTTCTGACTGACAAACCTGGTCTATGTCTATGACAAGGTAACACAGTGGATGAAGGAAGGGCTATGGATGTTGTCTGCCTGTACTTTAGTCAAGCCTTTAAAAGCATTTCCCACATCACTCTCCTGGAGAAACTGGCTGCTCATGGCTTGTATGAGTGCCCAGTTCGCAGGGTTAAAAACCATCTGGATAGCTCGGCCCAGAGAGGGCTGGTGAGTGAAGTTACATTCAGTTGGTGGCCAGTCATCAGTGGCTTTCACCAGGGAAAAAGACAAAAGAGTGAAAAAATGTCGCTGGTTATGTCTTACCACGAATGCAGTGTCACAGAATGAGAAAGAGACAGCCTTCGAGTTGCTATCAACTGAACCTTAACTAAAGAAGTCCTCGTCTGCACTAACACATGGCCTTTGAGGGTGGTCAAGTATGAGGCACAAGATGTTTCCTCCTGAACCTCAAGGTCTGGTTTTACATTCCTGAAAAGTCATCTCAAAGTTTTGCATGCATTTGTAGGCAGTTTGAAGAATGTGCATTCAGGTCCTGTGCCTATTTCAAGGCTCCATAAACTTTTCTTTCTCCCAGGATATTACAGTATGTTGGAATCCCTCCCCAGTGCAGAAGATGGACAATACTTGTAAGGAAAGCTACTGCACAAAACAGTACTAATTGAAGCAATTTGAATCTTCCAAATCCCATCTACTTGGAGCCATTGTGAAAACAATGTACGCTTACTCCAGTCTAGTCTTGGTTTGCTTTACTCTGTTTGTTTTACATGGACACAAAATGGTTCTCCATTCAAAGAAGCACTCTTCACAGAATACACTGAGAAAAGGGGAAGGAAAGTGGTCTTGGGAAAAGGGAAGTTTCCACTCTAAATATTTATGAATTATACCTCTTACAGCACCCTTTTGATGCAACAAATCACGTACATTTAATGTCCTAATTACACCTATATTACAGCCAAAAAGTACCACCTGTAGACACAGGCACCTTATAGTAAAAGTAAACAATATTACTAAGTGATACTATGTAATTATAAATTTAGCTAACATCAAATAAATGAGACGTGAATCTATAGTAGATACCATGTGTAATTGCCATAGCTGTTGGAGCATGCTATTAGCAAATCAGTGAATAAACTGTTCTCTTATTTAAAAGTGTATTCCTGCAAGTGGAGTGCATGGGTTTACATCTATATCTGGCACACAGGATATATTAAATGACTTCAAATTTTTGTCTGAATACTCTTTAGGTGCCCAAGAGTGCCAGCTACAACTGTCACATTAGGAACAGAAATTTCCAAGGTGTTTAAACAGAAATAGAAATATCCTTTCCCTTTCTGTACAAGTTAAACAAACTCCTGTCCTGTTACCAGGTCAAGTAAAAAATCTCTCCAGCATATTACTGCAATATAATTTTGTAGAGACAGAACCAGGAAAGGAGTATTTCTATTGCTCAGTTATCACTGTAGCATTGCTGAGGTGAGCCTTCTGAATTTCCCTCTTTCTACACAAAGAATCATCTTGTAAATGTATTAAGGTTAACAAAATGCTTGAAATGCATTTGAAATAAAATATATTTCATCTGAAAGAAGAGAGATTGATGCTTCTCTTGGTGACAATTCCCCTAAAGACACCATTTTAGAAAAGTAGTGTCCTCAGTCTTCACAGTCAGATTGACTTTTCTATCAATAAGTAGTTATACCAATGCATCTGACTCTTCTTGTGTTCAGCAAACAGAAGGCCTACTTTTGGGCTCCAGAAACTAAACAGGCTCCAGCCTGCAACAGCTGCAGGTCAGGAGTACATGGAACCTGGCAATGCTTTGGCCATTATGCTGCCAGTGCTGGCCAAGGTGATTTTCCCCACTTCTGCTACAGCCACTGCACAAAAAACCAGCCACAGTGCTAACACTTGCCTTGCTTTCATAAGATAGGGTTCCCATCTCATCCCCATGTCTCCAGCCTCCTCCCAAAAAATAAACTCAAGACTTACATGGAGCAAGTGTACTGCAAACTATAGCTTCAACGACCCCTTCATACCTGACTAATCTTGTGAATTGAGATACACAAGATGATGTGGAACAGACATACAAGAAGATCCAAACAGTAATTAACAAGCCCAAATCTCTCTGGAGTAAATGGCATGTGCAAGACTACTTGCTTCCAGGCCCATGTGCTAAGGTAAAGATTTCAAGGGCAAAGAGGTTCAGAGCACATATTAGCCAGTAAATAAAAATATGCAGGGGTATATCTTCTTTTCTTTTATCCACAATTATTTAATCTATATTAAAGTAAGTTGACTATTTTAACCTAAGACAAACAGCATTCTCCTATGAAATGTTCTAGTACATTTCAAAAGAGAGCATGTGTCAAAAAATTTTTTCAAGTACTTACAGGGCCATCCTACTTGAGGAATGAGGGAGAATGAGTTTTAAACCTGTGGGCACAATCAATGCCTTTCCCTACGGGCCAGAGAACATACCCTAGTCCCATTGGCTTTGATGGCACACTGGTAACCTCAAAGACTGCTGTACATTGCCCCAGAACCAAGTCAAATTACACAGTATGTGCAAACCACACACCATGACTACTGCCCAGAGAGACCACTTAAGAGATAATACAGAACTAAGTTATTTCTGATTATGTGAAGTTAGTTGGAAGAGGTGAGTCAGTTATGTGAGACACATGCTATTATTGCAACTGAATTTATAATTTTCAAAATTATTGTACTTTGTAGTATTTGTTAGTGTAGGGCCCAGAAGTCTGGCATTTGGCCAACAGTAATTATTTAGGGGTGTTGCCATAAATTACTATTGATAGAACACAAAGTAATTTTTGACATTCTGTCAGAAAAATGCATTAAAGGTACTTGAGAGCTTTTGTGATTTTACTCTTGCCTGGACTGGAAAATAAGATGTTGATTGAAAAAATGTTAAAAACTTTTAAAAACCCCACCCAAACCACACACAAGCCGAAGTCGGAGCACAAGGTTTGCAACATCTCCCTGGATACACAGCTAGGTTTGCTTACACCAATGGACTCGTAACAGTTGCTTCACAATGAATTTGTAATGAACAAACCAAGACAGCAACTTATGTTTTCTCGTGGTTATTTAGACCATTCAATATTTTCAAATATTTCAATAGAAAAAAAGTCCCTTTCAAACCCTGACATTAATTTTCCAGAGTCATAAGAGAATATCATATGCATCATTATTATTTACAATTTTGACTGCATGTATATTTTTTCAACCAAAAATGTATGTATCCATGTATACACAAATATACATAACAGGATACATACATTCTGAAAAAATAACTGAAACATATGTAGTATTTTATAGTGACATCTGTTCTAAGAATAAATAATTAATCAGGTATATTTAATAATGACATTCTTTACAGGTTAGTCTGAATAGCTTTATTATCTCACCTTCATTGTCGCAGTCTTGCAATGAAAGCCATATTTGATCTACCAGACCAACTCCTTTTACTTCACCATGAACTGGAATGGAATGCATTACCATTAATGCAATTAATGTCAATGATTTGGTTTGCAATTGCCAATGCTACTCATTTTTTAATTTATATTTTTTCCTCAATTGCTTTTGCTTTCTACACTGCATGAGAGAAAACATCCATTGTGATGCTTTTAGATTGTTCTCGTTTCACATTTTTCACCCATAACCATCTATAATATGAGAAAGACTATCATTATTTATATTTTTTGGACTAGATTCTATCAGACATAACTTGCACATGTGTTTTAGAGCTACAGAAGCACACATCACTTAAAAATATTAAAACCTGCAGGATCATGCTTTATGATAAGCAGCAAGGAGATATTCTTCAGTCACTGGCCAAATTCTTCTTGGTGTATATTTTTGGTCCACTATTACAAAATTGTTGTACAAATAGTCTGCACAAAAGTCAGAATCAAGGCTTAATCATACTGCATTCAGCATTTTTTTTACTTGGTGTTTATGGTTTTGTCCTGGACTTTTGCTTTTGATGGGTATAACATAGAGGCAAACCCCTTACTACTTAACATTGAAACAGCTTGTTCAGCACTTGGTGCTACTCCTCACGCCGAGTACTGAAATTAACCCATAACCAACTTGTGCTGCCTAAAGTTTCTGTGAGTGTCCCTCTGTTGTGACAGAGACCCTGGTGTTCCCTTGCTGAATGCAGCTATACAACAGGTATCCACATCGCCCTCTGTTCTACTCCAAGGTACCACAGCATGTGGCATCACATAAATGTGGACAGAAGAATTGCAAATTCAATGTTGAGTATTCTTTGTAGCATGAAAAAAGATAACTTCACATGCAAAGGCAGCAGATCTGTAGCCAGCAGAACTGGACATAGATTATTAATTCAATGTAGGGATAAACATCTAAAAATAAAAAATATATAAAAGCAAATCCCAGCCAAATGGCAAGGCTCAATTTAAATAATCTATTTAAATTATACTGCTTGAAAATTTATGTAACTGCACATTTATATATATATGTACATACAAACTCCCTCCAACATATTTCATATGAATCACTGAAGAGTCTTTCCTTGCAAATTACATTAACATAAAAAATACCAGCAATAGAAATCGATTTTCTATTACTGCATTTTATGAACACCAAAAAGTCAATAGAATACATAAAGAATTGGTTTAGGCCATATTAAATATTATGTCAGTAGAATGAGCAAAGTGAACTGTGGACATTCTTTGACTGGTTCAGGATTACGACAAACAGCAAATTTGAATCCATCATGTTCAACAAGAGTGATTCATTTCATAGTATTCTGTAATAAAACTGAGCTCCAGAATCTTGCTCCTGGAATTATGATAACTCTATAAACTCTGTCATGACTTTTGACCTTTATCATCTCCAGATTTTCCTAAAGGCAGGAGAAGGAAAAAAGTGATGGCTTGAATGTTATTTATTATTTTTCAGCTGACACAAAAATTATACTAGACCAAACTTTTTAGCTCTTGCAAATACATTCAGCTTATTCTACTCAAGTTAACAGATCTTAAATATCACTTTAAAATCACAGAATTTAATTTTCAAAAAGCCGACACTGTAATGCAGTATGATGTCTTCGTGAATACTAAAGCAATTAAAGAACAATGCACAGACTTGCTTGCTTCTTGACAAAGCATCAAACCTCTATTTTGGCAGCTTATTAAGAAAGAAAATGCTTGGCTGAGAGAATTCTCTAACAGGATTCTAAACAAAAGATTTTTCTGTATTTCTGTCTGTTTAGATATTTCTCAAAACCGGAAAGATATTTTACAGTAACAAATATTTCCACTGCCATTGAAGGAGCATTGTTTCCTTTCCTGCAATTAAAATACTGGATCTGGTACTCCCGTTAGGATTTACAATATAACTTCAGGAAGTAAGGTTAGTTAATTAGCATGTAACATGTTTACTTAGCCTATACTGAACTTAATTCTAAAAAAAGGAAAAAATGCATCACAAATCTAGAAAAAAGGCTGACAAAAACCATATTGATATTTTTAAAATATGTATCTCACTTGCAGCTCTGTAAAACAAACTACCAAAACACATAAAGAAGTATCATTGCCTATACAATGGAAACAACCTTTCCCTTCCAAAGACAGATAATTGTCTCAAATTCAACTCTATTTTACAAATCTTGCAAAATCAAGTAATTTATATATAACACTGCTTAACAGCTTTCCTGTCCATAATGTAACCACAGTATTACTGGTGATAGGATGGCAGGGGAAAAGCCCCTTTCATGCCTGACATGACGCTGCTCACAATAACAGCACCCTTGTAGCTGGATCAGAGCAGAACCCTCTTTTGTAATAATGTGACTTTCTGACTGAGTCCAACTATGCTAGAGTTATTGATGACAATCTTGAATAAAATAGTCATTAAATCTTCCAAAACACTCCTATGACTGGACAAGGGTTGTAAGAAGGACAGACACCAAGCAGCAGCTCTGACCTTGAAAGAAAACTATTGATTGGATTCTGCCTTGTGAAAGGAAGGAGGGAAACTGAAACCAGCCATTCTGAAACATTAATGAGCTCCCACAGCATGGATCTAACTCCAGTTTTTTACATATCCATGTGCATTTTTCTTTTGGCTTCCTCAAAACTAGCCCATATGCAATCTATACATGAAAAGAAATGATAAATTCATTCAAGACAACATGAAGACAACCTCTAGATAACTACTCTGTTTTGTGTATGTCAGACTGTGTAATACTTAACAACATTAATGTTACATATACTTTTAAATACATACACACATATATATCTATGTGTGTGTGTATGTTTACTCATGTTAATTACAGTAAATTGGTAAAAGATGCTATTAATTGCCTGTGCTACTACTATGTTTTTGTTTGTACCACTGAGGCAGAATGTGACTTTCCAGTCTTTTGATAATTCCTAGGACTGAAAGAGTTTTGAGTATATTTTCTATGAGGAATTTGGCCATAAAAAATGAGATGTTTGGGTTGTTGATTTTTAAAGAAAAGCTCTTTATATAATTAAATAAAATAAAATCATATTAAGAGTTATAATCTGTGTGGAAGGAAAAATTCAAATAACTGCTGTTTTGTAGGACTAAAGAGACAGAGAGAAGTAAATGGGGAGCAAAAAGCCTACCATTAGACAAAACATAGGAAGGTGTGTGATTATTTTCTCCTTATTTATCATAAATTTTATTCATCCTCCTTCTTACTGAGCTTTCCCTCCTCAACATATTACTTAGTTATTCTTCTACAGCCTCTTTTCCTACAAATTGTATCCAACGGCTTTTCTTCAGTAGGTCCAGCCACAATGTTATTTAGTGTAACACAAAGCATCCTCCTTTGCTCTTGGTTCATCTAGTAGTCCTAAAGAAAATAATTCCCTATTAATGTACTTCTACACAGAAGTCATAACTTAGTTTATAAAACTATTTTTCTGATACCTTTATTAAACTAATCAACCATGTTAAAAATGGGAAATTATTAAGCCAAGATTTCTTTTTAGATGCATTCAAACCAAGTGAGCTTAAAGAAAAACCTCCAACAGCCAAATGATCATTGACTGTAGGCATTTCCTCTTAAAGAGACACAGCCCATCAAAAACCAGCAGGGTGCAAATATGAAATGATTTTCCTGTTCACCATCCACTACACGAAGGAATAAATGTGATGACTCCTGTCTTCACTGTCACACAGCAGTGCATTAGCAGAAGTATACAGGCTGTGTTAGCACAAAGGAGCACAGTGTTGTCCAAGACAGTGAGTTCACATGTGAGAGAAATTGGCTACTTTCAAAACATCCACATGATTAGTGTCCCTTTAGTTGCCTATTTAATTACCAATACTTTCACTGTTTAGCAATTAGAAATGCCATCTTTACCAAGTAGTAGGAATTGCTACTACTGGAATTAGATTCAGTTGCCTTCTACACTAATAGGATATAAAAACTCAGCACAGTAACACTGCAGCTTCTTTACTTAATAATTACAGAAATAATATCATGAGATAATACGCCAACCATTATCTTACGCCAAGTATATAGAGGATTAAAAATTCTGTATTGGAATAATTGCATTCAGAAGGAGATTTCCCTTTAGCCCTGAACTCTGAAATGCAACACTTCTGCTCACACCATGGAAATACTCATTTTTGTATTCTAGCAAAAAAAAGTCCAAAAAAGATGGAAAGAGCATAGGTAAGAAATAGTGAGCTATACAATGATACAGACACTCATTAGGTAAAAGGGAAAGAGATGAGTACAACAAAAAAGGACAATGCACAAACGTTACTCGAGCAAAGCCAGAAATAAATGCACCTTCAATGCTAGCACAAAACTCGTGTATGACCAAACAGTAAATTCAGCAAGAGCTTTACAATAGGAATTATTACGCTGCTACACAGAAAGAGAAGTTTTCTCACAATGTTTTTGCTCAGTTTACGTTTGTGCTCTAGCTCTGTCTGTTCCAAAATATTCAAGCAATGAATGATGAGGTGTTACAATGCCATGAACTGGCAATATCTAAATGCCACATCCAAGGGTCTATAACACCTGTGAATTAATTATTTCTGATAAAATCAGAAAAATAATATTCCAAATCAAAACACCATTATTAAATATCCTGTTCCCATTAAATTTCAAATTAAAACCTTCCCACTTTGGTTACATGGCTGTGTTCAGCCCCATGGCAGTTTTTATACAAAGTCAAGGAGGAATAAAAGGCAGTAGAATATATCTCCATAAAAAAAGTTTACAATCTTAGCTATAACTACTACATCCACCTAACTGCAGGTCAGACAGTACTTGTAATAATTTGCAAACAATGGTCTCCATATAATCCTATGTATAAAGTCATTTAGAGACCAAGGGCAAAATTTTTCCATTCTATGCATGTTACAAATCTGCTATCTGTAGAGTCCATCACAGTGCTGATTCTGCACTGACAGGTGGCTCCTATTTCCATCAGTGGTGTTTGTGGTGCTGAAAAAGCAATAA